CCCCGATCGATCGAGCCGGTGGATGAACAGGACCCCATGGAAGGCTGGATGAACAGGACCCCATGGAGGGCTGGTTGAACAGTAGCCGGTGGAGGGCTGGATGAACAGTATCCCGTGGAGGGGTGGTTTAACAGGACCCCGTGGAGAGGGCTGATTGAATAGTAGCCGGTGGAGGAGTGCGCGGTGCAGGCTGGATGAACGGGAGCCTATGGATGAACAGTCGCAGGTGGAGGTTGGAGGAGGTCGACGGTGGATGAACAGTACCCCGTGGAGGCAGTCGACGGTGGATGAACAGTAGCCCGTGGAGGCAGACAACGGGGGAGATGAACAGTATCTCGTGGAGTCCCGTTTTGCGGTACGCCACACCCAGCCCGATGAACAGGACCCCGTTTCAACCATAGCGCTCAAACACAAGTCTGTTTCCTCTGTTTTGCAGTACGCCACACCCCTCCTGATCAACAGGACCCCGTTTCGATCGTAGGAGGTTCGTTTCCTCTATTTTGTGGTACGCCAGACCCCTCCAGATGAACAGGACCCTGTTTCGACCGTGGCCGATCGAACACAAGGCCGTTTCCTCCGTTCTGCGGTACGTCATGCCTCGTTTCCATCGGTTGTTCCGTTCAAGCCAGTTGGCTCCCGATGAATAGCACGCGTTCCGTTGCCTCCCGATGAACATGACACATTCTGTTGCCTCCCCATGAACACGATGACGATGCAGTTTCTCCGTTCCAACCCAGCCATGTACATGAGCCCTGGCCGTACGTATGTGCGAGTAGGCGTTCGAGACCCCACCCGTATGTACGTATGTGGCCGTATTTACTTTCTTGCACCCTAGCCGCTGTATGTACGTGTACATGCTACGTGCGTGCCAATACATCGATAGTATGTACGTACACGTTCGCGACCAGAATGACAACGCTACGTACGCTTCGACCAGGTGGGTCCCGACTGTCAGGCACTTCCTGCTTTCGTCTCAAAAACAAATTAGATAAATGCCACTCCAATTATGGCGATTCATAAAAATGCCACTGCAATTTCGAAACTTTGAAAAATGCCACTGCAATTTTTGCAAACTTTGAAAAGCGCCACTCCAGACTTTGAAAAATGCCACTGGAAATGGCATGAAATGGCATTTTTCAAAGTTTGGGAATTGTAGTAGCATTTCTCAGAATCACCAGATTTGGAGTGGCATTTATCAAATAAACCCAAAACAAAAATAACTGGGCGAGCTGCTGGGTCCCTGGTGTCAGCCGCTCGTTGTCCAATTCTCTCGTTTATTAACTACGTCGATAATGGCATGGGACCCAGATGTCAGAAATCCATTAGGAGGAGCCATTTTTTATTGGCTTGAAATAAGGAGGCACTTGCTTGCGTACTGCCATGACCTTGGTGGGTCCCTGTTGTCATCCTCTCCACGTACAATCATCTCCTGATTGTGTACGCGTCAACCTGGTAGGCCCACAAGTCAGCTTCTAAACCCGTGGCGGACAAATACAACCCATTTAAAAAAATACAACGCATTCCAAATGTTCAAACAGAAAGTTCAACATTCAGAGCAAAGTAACAGGTCTGATCTAGATATAGAGTACTGAACTTCCACATTGACAACCATCATAGCCAAGTTAACTATCTACTCCCACGAATACTCTAGTAGTTGATACGTCTCCAACGTCTCTATAATTTTTGATTGCTCCATGCTATTATATTATCTATTTTGGATGTTAATGGGCTTTATTTTACACTTTTATATCATTTTTGGGACTAAGCTACTAACCGGAGGCCTAGCCCAAATTGTTGTTTTTTTGCCTATTTTAGGGTTTCGAAGAAAAGGAATATCAAACGGAGTCCAAACGGAATGAAACCTTCGGGAACGAGATTTTCTCAACAAACGTGACCCAGGAGACTTGGAGTGGCCATCAAGAAACAAGGGAGGAAGGCACGAGGCAGGGGGCGCGCCCTCCACCCTCGTGGGCCCTCCGTTGCTCCACCGATGTACTTCTTCCTCCTATATATATCCACGTACCCCCCAAACATCTAGGAGCACCACGAAAACCTAATTCCACCGCCGCAACCTTCTTTACTCGAGAGATCCCATCTCGGGGCCTTTTCCAGAGCTCCACCGCAGGGGGCATTGATCA